GGGTAGTAGCGCAAATTAAGAAAACGTCGCGCTCATTGCCGCGGTGTCCGGGAAGATGTATTTGATCAGGAAAAATTTTTTTCGATAATTTTTCCTGTTTCATGGGCGCGGGAAATCGTATTGATATTCACTGAGGAGAGGAGGAGAGGGTCTTATTCACCTCTGAAAGAAAATTTGCCGCGTCGCGAAAACACTTTTCCCGGTTTTTGACGTTTTCTGGTTTTCCCCGTTCCTCTGCCCGGCCAACTAACTAAGGAATACTCTGTTAGTACGCGATGCAGCGAGGGGGGGGGTGTGGTGATTCTATCGTCGGCTGTCATTGTCGGGTCGTCGCGCCGGTGGGCGGAGCGAGGCGGCGTGGCGGCCGCCGCGTACGAGTTTTGTTGCGTGGCGTTCAAATTGTTAAAGGGTCGACGATCCCTTTAACAATTTGAAAGAGGCACAGCTTGCTGTGGCCGTTGCTCCAACAACTCGGGAGTACGGTAATGCAACTCCGGGATTGCCGCGTCGCGGCGTGCCGCGCAGCGACGCGGCGCGGCGTGTGCGGCGTCGCCTGACTTGCCGACGATAGAATCGCCCGTGCCGCGAGGGGGAAGTGACGCTCTACACCTTAAATCAACAGCCAGCGAGCTCACAACTAACTCCAATGACCGTCCTCTCCAAACGCCGCGGAATGTGCTGGGCACTGTATCTATAAAGTATCTTCATTAGGAAACACATCTTTTTTTCTTACCGTTAGTAGAGCTCTCCATGAAAATGAGCAATTCAGCCTGCTCTTTGATGAGTGGTTATCTCGATCCCCTACCCCAAAAAGGGTCCTACGCAGGACTTCTGAGTGAATCGTAAACGCTAATGTGGCACCCTGCTCCCTCTGGTAAGAAATACCAACCGAATAGCGTGCCCCAAGTATATTCGTCCGTCGAGTACTGATTGTGTTAAGGCCACCCACGTTTACGTCTGGTCCTCACAATCAATAGCTGCTTAGTAATTTCCACAGCTCTTTTCGTGAAGACGGTCGTATTCAGCACTGATGCACCCAAGGAGTTGAAATACTGAAGAACACGTCAATCTCATTTCAGCGATCTACCACTGCAGTCCCAGATGCATTGTCACCCCCGGGCAGCTTAACATGGATAAATGGTGACGCGACGACGGCACAGAACGAGTTTGAGGACGACTATGAAATTTTGGGAATGACTCGACCAGCAGCACGAGCGGCACAACCACCACCACCACCTCCTCAGCAATTCATTCCCGTTGGACGTGGGTGAACTGCTAGTCGAATTCTGCTCAATGCAGTTTATTTTGTTTGTTTATATTGAAATGAAGTATTTTCTTGTTGTGTTTATCCTAGCAGTGACTGTTAATAAAACTCGCTTGTTCAGGTAGTCCACAACGGCCAATTAACCCATTGTACCATAATCCGAATGCGCGCACGTTTGTGAATCACCAACGCACAGTACCACCACCTATAAGGTGAGGCACCATTAAAATATCTATGTAGTAATTGATTCGTAGATTTATGTAAGGATACACCAGGTCTACGGGTTCATAAGTGCAGATTTCCGTTTGCTGAAAGAGTAAATACAACGCAGTTCAGCTTGGTGGGGGAATTGTACAGGTTTCTATAGATCACAGGCAATGCTTGTAGAAAACGGTTTATTCCTGTAGAGCTCTGCGATAGCAGCAGCTCTCGTTATACTTGACGAGGTTCAAAAGGTCTTATCGGGGTGAAACGTGTAATTCAACAAGGACTAGGAAAAGAAGCTAGCGAAAATGCTAACTGCCCCTCACGGTTACGTGACATCTTGAAGTTTTGTGCATGGTCCTGTTACGAAACCCTGTGACGCAGACGGATAGAGGACAGCGGCTGCCAAAGCATCGAAACGTGCAAAAAACGTATGGCGAGCCAGGAAATGGGGTGGGACTCCGGGGTGGGTGAGCTACTTATAGTCGGTGAAAAGCTGGAGTGAGCGAAGTCACAACGGCCATAGAGTGCCATGCGGACGAGAGGTGCAGAGAAAAAGAGAAGATCGACGCGTTCAAAGGGATTGAGTTCAAGTTGTCCGTAGACCCACCCCTCACCCCTCTCCCGCTTGGGCCGAAAAGCACGGCAACTGCTACAACCTCAGCTAGCAATTCATTTAGTCAAGAGACAAAGGTGACACATAACTGTGAAGTCTAACTTCAGACACTGTCGGGTCCTGAACTTTTCTATGTATGGAATTACGATTTCATAACATCCTTGCCCTTGCTCGAGGACTTGACCACTGCCACACATGCCCAGATAAGGCGCTCTTCCCCATACTATGCCAACTACTACTTAAGAGCTCACGTAGCGAACAACTGGACAGGAGAGCATGGTGAACAGAAAATGAAGTAGTTGCCTAGCCCCACTAAGGCTTTCCTGGCTCATGACGCTACGCGCCCCTCTCTGCGCAGTACGCCCTTCTAAATATTTTGCTAATTTGTTTGGACTCTTAACCAACCCTTTTTACTTGCTTTCAGTCTTTCTCAGTCAACCCCTATTATAGCTTTTTATTTACCCTTTTACCTAGACCGAATGACACTTATTTTGTTGGAAGAATCCCCAGTGATAGTCATCAAACCTATATTGATAAGAGGTGTCGTATTAGATCTGCCTGTAGGGGGACCCTCCCTATAATGTAATGAAAAATGAAGTGGGTAGA